AGTCTCCCATGACTATTGTATTATTTCTAATATTGTAGTTTTGTAGATGTCTTTGGAACGTTCTTTTCTCGTGCTCTCCCCGGTCTTTCTGGTTGTAGATGTTGACTACTTGTATTGATTCTTCTCCTTCAGTAATGTCGATAAACTGGATATCGGTGTCGCTGGGTGACTCTCTTGAGAGGCTGACTGAGGGTTTGANCTGGTCTTTCTGGTTGTAGATGTTGACTACTTGTATTGATTCTTCTCCTTCAGTAATGTCGATAAACTGGATATCGGTGTCGCTGGGTGACTCTCTTGAGAGGCTGACTGAGGGTTTGAAGGTTTTTGCGATTGTTCGAGGCCTTTTGCTGGGCAAGTGGTTTGAGAGAATTTGCGTAAAACTGCCATGTGCTGTTGAGGTGACAGCTGTGTAATTTTGTCTGTTTCGTGCGTTGTGAAACCATGGTTCTTGGAAGAGTACAATGTCTGCTTTGACTTGGACAGCTATTTCTAGCGCGTTTTCCATGGCTTCTGATGTAGTGTTAGCATTAAAAGAGATGATTTTGATCGGGCTTTCTATCATTGGGATTCTGTGATAGCATCGGTGGTAGTGTGTACGCAGGCTCCGCCTTGAGCTTCGCACTGACGACATTTGTGTTGCGAGCTTTGGTGTTGTTGGGAGCAGAATTTACACTTTGGAGGGTTTTTACAGTATTTAAGAGGGTGCCCGTCTTCCTGGCATCTAGTACACTGCATTTTCCTCGACGTGTTCCGGAGGTGCTCAACTCTAGCGCTGATTCCTGCAAGGTTAAGTCTGTTTCTTTGTGCTCTGTTTGCTTGGCTTTCTTCCTTGAAAGCTACAACGATTGATCCTTGGTGTTGTAGGCCGCTATCTCGTTTATCTTTTGAGGTAAGCCAGTGAGGGATGTCGTCGATTTCTAGGTTGAGGCTCTTATTAAAAGTGAGGATCTCATCTTTGAGTTGTGCTAGGCCAGCGAGAGAGTTGAATTCTTTAATTGGGATGCCGTGGATTACTACTTGGTATTTGATAGCGTCGACTCTTGCCTCTTTGAATTTAAGTACCTTTTGGACAGCTCCGATTCTGTCAAGCAGGAATTTAGCATTGTATTCTTCTGCTGCTGTAAGGACAAGGTTGTTGTTTCGTGATCTGGAGACTGTGCTAATTGCGGGGCTGACATTAAAACGAGCTTTGAATTCCTTGTTAATAGTGTCTCTGAGGGTAATTGGTTGTAAGTCGCTAAATGGTTGAAGGTGGTCTTCGATGAGAATGAGACGCTGGGCTTTAATGGCTTTCTTTTTCTCAGTAGCAGCTTTTTTAAAAGCGTCTCTCTTCTTGTCCATGTTTGTTTTTTGAGGAGGAGCGTAGTTGAGTTGCCGGTCTATGAGGCCTTGAGTACTGTTGTCTGTGTCTGTGTCTGTGGTAGGTTTGTTGTTTGTGGTTACCGATGCGTAGCTTCTTTTAGGAAGGCGCCTTGCGATGTTCTCTAGGTTGTTGACTGAGTTGGTAAGGGTGGTAATTGTGTTTTTGAGTGGTTTTCCCTCGGTATAGTCCCGGAAGAGGTTGAGTAGGTCCATGAGAGCGAGTTTCTTGGGCTGGTTGTCTTTTGGCTTGAGGCTGGGTTTCTCTGATTCTTTGGGAGTTGTTTGGCGTGCTAATGTCTATAAAGCTAGGGTTGTTTTGGTTTCGTTGGATGTGGTTAACTGGGCTGGATGGCGCATAGCCTCCTAGGAGGTAGTCTTGGCCATTGGCGCTAGGTGTTTGGGGGATTGGAGTTGCCAGGGTGATAATTGGGTAAATTGGGCTGATGGGGAGCGTGGGCTCGTTGAAGAGTTGCATGGGTTCGTAGGCTGTTCCTTCTATGACTTCTTGTTGCCATTCCGGGTTTGACTGTGTTTGGGTCGCCATAGTAGCGGCGTTGAAGGCATTGGGTTTATTTAGCGATGTACGTGTGGTTGTCTCTTGTATCATTAAGGGGGGCCCGCTTAATCTCCGCATCGGCTTTTCTTTTATGTTCGGAAGGGTTAGGGTTCAATGATTATTTCAGCTGTTGTAACAAATATAAATAAGAAAACGTGTGAAATACCTAGGCCTGTGCTTACCATTTTTGTTTTATTATGAGTCTCATTCACCAGTATAAAAAGAAGAAAATATGAAATATTATATGTGTATCTTTCTTCATGCTTGTGCCTATTTATCATCATGTCCAATTCTGTCATCCCCTAATGCGTATCGCTGAAAAGAAATCCCCTATGTGGTTCCCATGACCAATCGAGTAGTACAAAAGGTGTTGCCGAGAAAATTTACCACCCATATTACTCCTCATCAGCTATGAAATATCAATCTAATGCCTAATCCCAATCAATCCATCCTGAGAAAATAAAAATTTCATTCCAGATTGGCACACGAAAAAACTCCCCAACTCCATAACGCCTCGCTTAACCTCGCGAAAACACTAAACGTCAATATCCCAGAAAACCCCCCCGAGAAAACATTGGCATTAATATAGAAGCGTTAATAAGAAAGAGAAATCACCTCTTTCCTTTCTTCTTCTTCTTCTCCTCTTCAGCCTTCTTCTTAGCCTCGTCATTTGCTTTCTTCTGCGCCTCTCGCTTAGCCTTTTGCTCGAGATGCGCTTTCCAAACGTCTTGGTAGTTCTTGTGTTCGCGATGTGGTTTTTAGCAAATAGGGCAATGCTGGGTCTCTTTGACGAACGGGACTTTGGTAGGGCAATCGTCACAAACGTGGCAGTGCGCACTACAGTAAGGGTCACCGTTGACACTCTTAGCATTACGACAACTTCCGGCACCTTTTGCACCCTTTCTGGGGCAGTGGTGAAGGGTAGAGAGTTGTCTTCCTGCTGGTGGCATCGTGACGGTTGATCAGGTGTATTCAGGCGTATTGGTGGGTATGAGGAGGGCCGTTGACTATAATATCATTAGAATCTATATTGTGGGATATTTGGAGTGTTTGAGATACTTACAAGGCGCTTAAACAAGCCTGCAACTAAGGTAGACCCGAAAGAGTTGATGGTAGAATCTGAGGCGAAATGCTCTAGATGCGCACTGGCGACGATGAGTCTATGAGTGCTTAAGACTCCTGGGGGTATGTACCAGACGTTAAAGTATCGGTATGAGATGGGTAAGGGTTACCGAAGAAGTAGAAAGAGTATGGGGTCGACTTGAAAAGATGGTGTTCTAGAGATGGGAAGAAGGGGAGCTCAACCGCAGATTGAGGAATACTAATGGTCGCTCAGGGGTGGGAGAGCCATTCATCCGCTTAACTTTGTCTGCGTGAATGTGATACTCCAGTGTTGTGGTGAAATGAGATGGGCAAATGTTACCAAAGCGGTAGAAAGACTATCAGACTGTGATGAAAGGTTTGTGATACGGAGTTGGGAGGAAGGGGAACTTCACAGACAGCTGGAAAATATTTATGGGCACCCAAAGGTGGCAGTGCGAATCATCCGCTGAACTCTATGTGAATGTGCTGATGTCGTGTTGGGATGGAATGAATATATTACCTGGTGAATTTTCTTTCTTGGTATGGAGATTGACCGATATGGTTGTATTATTGGCCAAAGATTGCTTATTGGTTACTCGGCCTCTTCACTTTCTTATCACAACTTAAAGAAGCTATTTTCAGATATTGTTCCTATACATTGAGCATACACTCAACGCTTCATAACTGCCTCGAACTTTCTTAATCAACGCCTATAATGATGAACAAAGTAAAGTAAACTATCGTAGAAAGCTGATGAATTGGAACCAGAAGAAGACTCAAGGGACTACGAAAGACTTGTAATGGGTGTTTAAAAGCAGTAGTATAATTATCAAGCTATCTTCTGCGTGCATCGGGGATTATAATGCTGTTGGAAAATCGCTATTAGAGGATATTGGGAAGTTTGTGTATTAGAGTTGGGCGGAATGTGAAATCAACGGTCGGTGACCTAATTGTTGTGGCAACACGGAGACTGGAGTGCAAATTATTGGTGTGACTCGTTCTGCGTGAATGTTGTGATGTAGTAACTCCCTAGATTTAGGTAAATATGTAAGCGAACAGGGCTCAGGGGTTCCATATACACCAATTACAAAATGCTTCATTCGAGAGTATTACGACTTTATCTTAAACTTTATGAATTCTCGAATAAATAGGCCTAAGAAATTAACAATATCCTATGTGACCTTTAGAATATCAAACTGTAGTTCATTTTTCTTGTAAGCTGATCACGAATTCAACATACAGTACTAGACTTTAAATAATGGCCCATTTCCCGTCTCAACACCAAAAACAGCCAAAACTTACTACTTTCACTATAAGATTGTACGTCTAATTAATAGTAAAATACCCTATTTTATTAGCTCTACCTCTCTATATTTATATTAAACCTAGGGTTTTCTAAGCTAAATTTTATAAATTATTAAAGTGGGTCTTAGGATAGTAGAGCGCGTTAGAGTAACGTATTTTTGGCCGGAAAAACGTCGGTTTTATATACAAATTTTAGGATTTCTAGTTTATCGTCTCTTTAGTAACCTATATAAAGATAACGCTACTCTAAAATAAGATTGCTAAGAGTACAAGTTGTTATTTCTATTCTATTTGATAAGTATATAATACAAAGCTTTCTTCTAAGAGTACAAGTTGTTATTTCTATTCTATTTGATAAGTATATAATACAAAGCTTTCTTCTAACTCTTATAGTTATTGTTTTATAAAGAAGTGCGTAAGGTGACTTTTGGTGTAAAAAGGCCTCTGGGCCATTACTTAAAGTTGGGAACTGTATTTGAGTGTGTAAATTACCGCTTTTGAGTTTGGTAGAGACTAAGCGAAGGTGATAAAGGGCACGTGTGGGATAAGAAGTACATATGCGAGCCTGAAAAATTGGAGAAATGAGCAATGGGCAACGAGCATGATAGTGACAAAGCTTTGGCCAACTTCTTCAGTGTGACCTTGGCGCTATAGCGTTCGCGCAACTTTAGTACAGCATATGGTTCGCCTTGTAAAGTACAGCCACGAGACAATAGTATGTGTTTAGTTCTAAGCGAAGCTAGACAGTGAGCCTCCTGACTCGCTTAAACCCCTTATCATGAACTTATACCTTGTTTCTCCATTAACCGTGGTTTATCAGCGAGTCGATCATATCACCGAGTCGATCACTTTTCCTTGGCACTACCTCCTCAAACTTCAACACACGTTTCCTTCAACTATTTACCATGGAAATTCAAACTCAAGAAGCGCGAATTACTCTAGCTATCGAGGCTATTCGGTCGTCCAAGAAACTAAGCAAACGCTCTGCGGCAAAGATCTACAATGTACCATATACGACTCTTTCCGACAGAATGGCTGGCCGAACCTACCGCCCAGATTCTCAAGCCAATTGTCATAAGTTGACTGAGTTAGAAGAGGAAGTGATTATTCGGTATATACTGGATATGTATTCCAGAGGATTTGCGCCCCGGCTCGCTGGTGTAGAAGATATGGCTAATTTTATCCTTGAATCGCGGGGGGAAGACGCGTCGGCAAGCTCTGGGCACATCGATTCGTACAACGACAACCAGACCTTAAGACGCGTTTTAATCGCGTTTACGACTTCTAGAGGGCCTTATGCGAAGATCCTGACGTGCTAGGCGCATGGTTCTGGCTAGTAGAGAATATGAGGGCGAAATATGGGGTTACAGACTCCGACTTCTACAACTTCGACGAGACAGGCTTTATGATGGGTGTTATTTGTCCTAGAATGATTGTTACTCGTGCAGACCGACGTGGTAGAGGCAAGGCAGTTCAGCCAGGCAATCGGGAATGGGCTACAGCAATTGCCTGTATTAATGGGGAGGGCTGGAGTATTCCTCCATTCTTGGTAGTTCAGGGCAAGAACCATCTCTCCAACTGGTATACCGACGGCGTCCTCCCACCTAACTGGGTTATTAAACCGACAAGCAATGGTTGGACAAATAATGAAACAGGCCTGGAATGGTTAAAGCACTTTGATAAACACACTACAGCTCGTGCAAAGGGTCTGTATCGAATACTAGTTTTGGATGGGCACGAGAGTCATGAATCGGCTGAGTTCCAAGACTACTGTACGAAACACAACATTATTACTCTTGGACTACCTCCTCGTTCATCCCATCTAACCCAGCCACTTGATGTTGGGTGCTATAGTGTGTTAAAATGAGCGTATGATCGGCAGATTGAGACGTTTATCAAGGCCCATATCAACCATATTACAAAGGTTGAGTTCTTTCTAGCCTTTACAGCAGCATACAAGGAAACAATGACAGTCCTAAACTGTCAGTCTGGATTCCGCGGAGCTGGCCTAGTACCATTTAACCCGCAAGCAGTGCTTTCAAAGCTTGACGTAAGGTTACGGACTCCAACTCCCCTTCGGACGTGTAGTGCCAACTCCCTCCCCTGGGTGTCCCAGACCCCTTCCAACCCAACTGAAGCCCTTTCACAATCAACTCTTGTACGAAATCGTATAGCCTGTCATCAAGGAAGCTCGCCAACTCCACTTTTTCAAACAGTTGCTGCGTTAGCAAAGGGTACAGAGCGAATGGCACATGAGATGACCCTTTTGTCTGCTGAGGTCCGTACCCTTCGCGCTGCAAATGAAGCCCTAAGTAAACGCCGTAGGGCTAAAAAGACTCGTGTCCGCCAAGGAGGGGCACTTATAGTAGAGGATGTACAGGATATGTTAGCTCAGGAGGATGTAGATGAGCAAGTACGACGCGACATGCGTGAGGCGGGGGTTGGTTATAAGGAGGGGCAACCTTCTAGGCGGCGCTGTAGAACTTGTGGAAAAGCTGGTCATAACGCGCGAACTTGTCAAGAAGTTATAGATATATCTAGTTCGTCAGATATAGAGAGCGATAATTAATTTAATATATTGTGGTTGATTTATTTAGGTGTAAAGTTCTGTGCCAAGAAAAAGTGATCGACTCGGTGATATGATCGACTCGCTGATAAACCACGTTATACAACAAATTTGTACTAAGGCAATCAGCAGTGTAATACTTGGAAATCCCACATAATTCAAGTCTGAAGATTCAGTAGCTATCTTTTTCTTCACTTCTAAGTCCCTATGTTTTTATATTTGATCGCATTTTCGAAGTGCCTAATAATACCCAACCAAGAAAGTATGTAGCTGAACATTCAAGAGCAATGCCTCGATGCCAGCTAGTTTATCGATTGGCTCGACGGAACCTAGTAGTTTGGTCTTGGTAACACCTCCCGAAGCACGTCATAAAGTCGGTACGATATTTTTGAACAGACCACCACTCTCGTTTAGGTGGGTCAGACATACCTACAAGGTTAAGTTAATTCAAATGCAGAAGCTTATTGAAATAACGGCGAATCTGTGCCCGAAATTATCTATTGTAGGTTTTTCTAGTTCCTAAATACAGTTACCCCTACATATCTTCTTGAAATAGAATCCCAGTAGTAAGTCGACTATCGGGGTCTAAGAATTTTTATATTCACCAATTTTTTGGTAAGTACGACAGCTCGACAGGCAATAATGCACACAGATGTCTTCAAAAAATAATAGTACTTAGATAAAAGGAAACCAGAATCTGGAATGTTTGGATTAGTAATTATGCAATTTTTTAATCTTATCCGAAGCCTTGTTGAGTCTTTTATATCTTTCGAGTAATAATATTTCATGGAGATTGTTGGGTACAATATTTAACAAACGTATCTCTAATACGAGTCCTATCAGATAATTTTATTTTGTTTCTGGTAGATTGAACATATTCACGAGCTATCTTTTTGCTACTTTCTTATAAAGACGCTTCTGAAATATTTTTATTAGCGTTGATCACCTTATTGTTTTGCAATTGCGATATTTGATAAAGATATAATTGGCTAAAAA